GTCAGTTTTTCATATGTCTGTCCTGTTATTGATCATGAATTTCGTCATAACATTGTCAAAGCAGCTGTGGATCCACAAGGTGATCTGCGAACTACTTTTACAATGTCATGACGAGATTCATTGTCAATAACAGGACAGATGCATGAAAAACTGCCATCAATTCATTTTCACAATAACAAATTGTCAGATTGTCTGCTCTAGTTCGTTGTGTCATAAATTGATGCGTCTGTCCACTTATTGACAATGAAACTTAGCCAATAAGCGCACAAGAATTTCTGCAGTTATTGTAAAAAAAAAAAGAAATGACATCTGGTACATTTACCCATAATTCTTAGTGCACAAAAACCTCCACAATGCTCACAAAAACATACAGAGAAATTCTAAAATCTTCAAACCTAGCATACACAATGTTGTTAGTACAGGGGCAAATAAAGCAAAAATATGGCTTTTTTGTCTAATGGACTGTGCTAGGTTTGCATTGGTACATGTATTGTGGGGGTTTCATTTAGTGTTTTCAACAGGAGGGCAACTCCAGCTTTTCCCAGATGGGCAATACTATTAGGACTAAACTTCTTTGTATAAAATTTTCCGCTAGATCGTCAAACCAGCCGGGCAGAATTGTCCTCACAGCCGGTCAATTTGGTCGGTGCTTGGCCGTTAATGGAACCCCTGGTATTGTGGTAAAATGTACAATCACCATCTTTTTTCTTAGGATTGAGTTAATTTTTACTAGTGACCTGATTTCTGATTTTTCTTGCAACCTTACGTTCGCTTTCCTTGCATGACCTCCACCAGCGAAGCTTGCAGAAACCAGAGTGAAACTTAATTTGCAAAACTTTCACAAACTGTTTTATTGTTGTTTTAATTATAGATTATATCAGAGGACACCTGCTAAAGATGGGTGGTACTGGCTTAACACCCAAAAATTGGCGGAAAAGATGGTGAGACATATCTAGCAGTTCTGAATACATGTTTGTATTTTCTGCTGACAGAAGATGTCTGTCATTTAGTTACCAAATAGAAGATGATGTTCCGTGTTCTCATAGAGACAAGTTTTAATGCAAGCTTGAGGTCTAGAAAAACTGTTAGTGGACACATGAGTGGAACGCAAGACAGTGCGTTCAGGAGTTTTTCTAGAACTCAACTTTAGAGACATTATTTCTTTGAAAGCGTAGGAACACAGTCTTCTACTATTTCTCTTTAAGATATAACATGGAAAAGCTAATTTTTACATCTGAGAAGGGGTGGCACTGATTGTACTGGCAACACAGCATCCAGGAGATATGTACCTTATAAAAATTTTCCAGCCATGCACCTGTAACAACAACAACAGCGGTCAGGGTTTGAGCCCTGGCTGGGGACATTGTGTTGTGTTGTGTTCTTGGGCAAGACGCTCTACTCTCACAGTGCCTCTCCCCACCCAGGTGTTTAAATGGGTACCAGCGAACTTCATGCTGGGGTTAACCCTGCAATGGACTAGCATCCCATCCAGGTGGGACTAAAAATAATTCTAGTCGCTTCATGCTACAGAAACCAGGATAAGCTCCAGCTTGGTGGCCACTTGGCTCATGTGCAGACTTTACCTACCTATACATTCTAGTATTTTATTTTGTTATTAGTTAGCTAGTTTTCACAAAATTAAGTTGTAAAGTTTTGAATTCTTTTCCAGGTTTGTGCTACGAAGGGATAACTGTCTCTACTACTACAAACAATCTAAAGACAAGGTTCCCTGTGGTGTTATCATTATGGCAAACTACTCTGTCTCAAAAGCACCAGAAGTAAACAAGGATCACTGCCTCAAGCTGACCAAAGGAGGTGCAAGGACATACTACATGTGTGCAGGAAGTGACATGGACATGAAGAAGTGGATCATGGCTATGACGGACGCTATCAAAGGATCTTCAGGCAGTGTATGTATTTTAAATGGAATTTATAAATGGAATGAATAAAGGCCAAGTACTGTAAGTTAATTAGACTTGTGAGAGGTGACTTAAAACTTGTTTACAGCTTAGTGGGTTCACTCTGATTAACCTATTAAGAATCAGGTACCAGGTATCATGTATTTTGCTGAGTCTCGCCTTGATAGTGCATTGACTAATTAAAGGTCTTATGATGGGAACAAAATAGAATTATATTAATTGCTTTCAACAGAATGGAGTTCTAATGGAGGAAAATTGAGTTTTCCTGTATGTATCTTTCTATGGACACCAATTTGGTCCCCCCCCAAAAAAATTTTTCAGGGGCAAATGCTTTGGCACACCAACATGTCCTCCGCTTTATTGTTTTGGAAGTGAAAATGCCCTTTAGCTGTTTCCCCAAAGCCAAGGCAATTCAAAGTCGTGTTCGTAAACAGAATAATTGTCCTAGTTTTGGTAACATAAGCACATCATCTTGCATACCAACGGAACAGGCATCGTTTGTGTTGATTTACTTGGCCAGTATAAAACATAGACTGTAGACTGCAGACTGCAGACTGTGGACTACAGATTGGGTATAAAACATGGACTTAGTTATAAAAGGTGGACTAAGTATTACAGACTGGGTATAAAACACAGAGTCAGGCGTTAAGCGCAGACTGTGGACTAAATGCAGCCTACTGACTGTAGTCCGTGTTTTTTACTGACTGGTTGTAACTAATATCATGTAATACATGTATAAACAACAACAAACCCTCTCGTAAGCACATGCTTTGCGATCAATTCATTTTTTTTTTGCCCCTGGTAGAAGGAGGCCAATTTCACACCTACCTAACAGCTCAGGCACAAAATGCTGTTCCTGGAATTTTTGCTTTTTAACATACCAAACCTACGATTACTACTAGTTTAAAATTTAACAGTCATGCGATAATTAACATGGAATTATTATATTTTGTTGTCTCTCTCTAGTCCAATCCATTTAACCTTTTTGAAGGCAATGTACACAACGTCAGTATCCCTGCTCTGTCAATCAGAGACCCTGATTGCCATGGTTACCTCTTTAAACAAGGACACAACATCAAGACTTGGAGACGCCGCTACTTTGTCCTGAAGAATGGTTTTCTCTACTATTATTCAGACATGTCTAACACTGTTGCTCTGGGTGTGGCTAAGCTGCTTGATTACACAATTCAAGTGGGGGACCACACAGGCAAGAAATTTTGCTTCAGTGCTGTTTCCTCTGAGGCATCATTAAGGACTTACAACTTAGCTGCCGAGAGTGAAATGGATAGAACTAGGTAAGGGTTTTTTGAATTAGTAGACAATGACAATCCAATGCTCTTAGTAAGTCTAAAAGCTTGAAATATAAATTCTAATAAGTTATGCCCAGAGAGACCAAAGAGACACAAACTTGAGTCAAACTTGGGTCTCCATTGAAACAACTCAAGCTAGTGGTTGGACCCACAACCTTCAGATTTCAAGTCTGGCACCTAACCACTCGGCCACGCCCCCTCTTAACTGTGTATACTTTTTGTATTCTATGTGTATTAATCATGTGTAAATTTACATTGCACTTATTTGTGACTCTGAAAGTAATTTGTTTTGCTTTCTAGGTGGTTATCAAAACTGGAGGAGTCCATCAAGAAAGGGTCATTAGTCAGCTCTTAGGTCTTACGATGGTGTGCAGTTCTACCAAGGAGAATCATTTCTGCTAGTCTAATGGATGAAAAAAATTCAAACCAGAGATGAGGGATGTTGCTAATGAGCTTCTGGGCTTCCTCTATATTTCCTATATGGGAACTTGACCTTTTTTAAAAAGAAATTATTAAATGACTTTTATCTCTCATTACAAGTATCGGTCAATTCCAGTAGTGTCCATCCCCCTGCCAATAGTCAGGCTTTTGCTCTCATCTTAATCCCAGTGGTGGGGTATTTGAAATTTTTGTACTACTGCTTGATTGCAGGTGCCTGTAGAGAAAAATTCACTAACATTCCAGTTTTTTAGAGGATTTTCTCATGACTGATGAAATTAACCTGTCAGATATTTGCATAAGAACTATGTAGTTGTGGCTTGGAGGTTTTCACTATTGTGTTTGTGATCATTTCGCTTATTTTGTCAATTTGTAGTACCAATTCACTGGTCACAGTTAGTTTTAGAAATTAAATATTATTTAACAATTAGATTATGAGCTCGAGATTTCTATTAGTTCAAAGTTGATGAGGCCAAAGGCCGAAGCAACTATCACCTAATAGCAATTGAGAGCGAATAATCTAATTGTTTTTAGAATTCTAACTAAAATTTACTTGAAATAACAGTTTCCAATTATTTCTCTATGTATTATTTTATTTTGTGCCTCAGAAAGATTGTTCCAGGATTGAATTGTCATTTGAAATTACAGTTGTGTGTGTGTGCATCATTTTTTTCAAAAATTTCAAGTTTTTAAAAGTCAAAGAAACTGTAAACGTCCTTGTTTTGGTCTTCTCAGAAATTTAATATTTATCATGATTTTGCATCAAAATGTTCTTTGGAAAAACAAAACAAACGTCGCCATTTGGTAGACGACCTCCAGCCACTGCACACTAGTGGCTGATAGTGTACAGATTGCAGTATTTGCATTGGTGTTCAAGTAGAATTCTAGTAATAGCCCTTACAATTACATGTGCATTCTCTGTGACTTGAAAATGTTTATCTTTCATGTCACAAGTTTTGGAACCCTTTGAAGAGAGAAAAAAAAGGGGCTGGGGGTAAGAAAAAAACCACGTATATAGATGTATACGAATGAAGAGTTTATTCAATTTTTACCTTACAAAATTCACCAAAACTTGTATGTACTTGCCCAAGTAAATTGAAACTTACCTGAGCAAATAAACAAATTTTAATTCCATCCTTGGTTTCTCTTTAGTGCCTTTTTTTTTAAGAATATTAAAGTAAAAGCACCAGAAAAACTCAAATATTTGTGATGATAATAATAGTAATAATAATAATGATGACATCAACACATTTACCTTATTCTTAACCTTCAATGTTTTTAAACCAGATTTTTAATCTACTAGGTTTCAAAATAGATATTTTTTTTAGATTCAGATTTTGTACATATTCTCACAGCCATTGGCTCAGTTAGATACTATCAAAGTAGTCATTAGGATGTTGAATGACCAAAAAAGGTATTTAATAATTCAAGATTGAGGACTTACTTTGTGTAGAAGACACAGTGACATAAAACAATATACAAATGTAGAACAAGGAAGCAATTAAAACAATAGGGTTATAGGGTGGTGTTCTGTTGTGATATGCCCTGTGTCTCCTACACCAAGAAGGAGCCAAAGCAGCTTGGTTCCTGGTTTTGGCAAATATTTGTATGCAAAATCCCTGAATTGGAAGTTATGAAATTTGGAATGTTCTGTCTACTGTAAGTTAGTCAGAGCGCCTGGAACTAAGCTTAGAATGGGGGTGCACCACTAAGGAATGGCATAACTGACTGTTGAGGTAAACAATTGGAGGGGGGGAGTTTGTGCACCCCTGCACCCCCCCCCCCCCTAGATCCACCCCTGGTCTTAAACAATGCCTTTAACACCAAGGCTAATGTTACAGTGGATGGGCAGAGGAATCAAGTTAGTTCTTGGCAAGCCCAAGTTTCTTACAAGTTGAGTGAATTGTAATATGTTTTTATACCTTTTTTCCATGTACATGGGACAACTAATTTAGGTGCTAGTTGTCCTCGTTCATTATTATTATTATGTAAAGCACATTCACTGTAAGGATATATAGTGCAAAAAATTACATAAGTAGAGTACAAGAATGAAATAAAACCCAAATTGCTTGGGATGTGAATTTTATTGATTGCTGTGAAGGAAGTTATTGTAATTATTACAAGCTGCAGTTCGCTTTTAATAGCCTTACTCAATGACCCAGGTTGAAGCATGAGCCAACTGCATCTACTGCGGCTGCCATCATCCACGTGGTCGCTGTCCAAGGTATTCCAAATTGAACCCGCTAGTAATGACTGATCAGCTCATGCAGTTCAAAAAGATTGCAATGCGTTATCGAACAGAAAATACAATGATGCAAGAGACTGCAAGCGAAAAAGCTGCTGGTATCCTAGGTATCAAAATACTTTTAAGAGTGTATGTTCTTCCCCACTGAAGTCCTCTCCCC